TGGTGCTGATTTTCTTCAACTTCAAGATCTTTTTATCTGGAGCTTCTGAGAAAACTGATCTTGTGTCGGAACAAACTGATTTTCTATCTACACACATGGACTTTGCATCCCTTGGTACAACCGGTGGATCCTCCACTACAGAAAAAATATCAGAGGCTACGTCACTTGCTGCCTCCAAGTTGTTATCATTACTTTTAGGATTAGTCTTCTCTTTCTCAATGACTTTGTAGGCAAACATTTGAAATGGGATTTGTGTTACAGATGCTGGGAAAGAATTGCATTCTGCAGGGAACTTCTTTAGAAACCTTGCCTCTAAGTCATAGTAATCTACTAGTGGAGATTGCAGTTCAGGAAGACCGTTGTCTGGGTTCATCACAAGGAACTTCTTGATGTAACGTAGAATCCTGCAGATGGAGGAGAAACTTGGGCGCTGATTAGGGTCACTGTGCCAGCATCTTCTGGTCAAGTCTGCTAGGTATTTGGGTGAAGGAAATGGGAATAAAGGTCTCTCCCCTGCTCTTATGTTTTTAGTCATCTTTTCTCCTTGAAGATGGCCATCTTCAAAGGGAAGTTTTCCTGTCAAGAGCTCAAAACAAACCATAGCAAAGCTGTAGACATCTGCTTTCTGTGTGTGCTTAGAACTAGGTATGCTTTCTGGCTCATGTTCTAGCTCCTCGAGAACTTCCGGAGCATACCAAATAAAAGGGTTTGAGACATGTTGTTTGGTTGAGTTTCGACTGATGTGAGTTTTGATGGAGGATAAACCAAAACCAGAGATTTTTGCATGGAAATAACCATCTGTCCAGCTCCTCTCTTTCAGAAGAATATTACAAGGGTTCAGGTCTCCATGACAGGTGTTTCGAGAATGAAGATACTCCATTCCTCTTGCAATTTGTAGCATGAGATCAACAACAACAGGAAGAGAGAAGAGAAACCGCCTCCTTGGCCCACTATTCTCCTTCATGTAGCTCAACAGATCTTTATGCATCAACTCCATAACCAGAAAACATTCTTTCCTTTCCTCATCATAGAACCCACAAAGGTATTGTAATATATTGGGATGACAAAGTGAGAGAAGAGTGGAAATCTCTGAAGATAATGGTTCAATCTCCCCAAAGAAATGCCTCAAAGCAAAATTCTCTCCTAACCACTGAATTGCTTTGTACTGGCTTCCTCCTCCTAATCTCTGCTTCACTTGGTAATCCTTTCCTCCCACCAAAATAGAACTTGGGAAGAGCTTTCCATTACCTGGATCCATCCCAGCTATTTTCTTGAACAGTAGGTCAGCAAAACGCTTGTCAATCTTTGTAGAAGCGTCACCTAACAAATTTCTCTTCTCCTGAAGCACATCAAGAAGATGCCATTTGTCTTCTCTCCAAGAAATCTCAAAACGGCTACAAATTTCCCGAGGAACCAAATACTGTCTCCCATATCGCCATTGAAAAAGCTTGGGATCAATCCACTCCTTATCGTATTTCCTCTTAAGAGCAACTCTTCTGCTCTGCATCTCTGCAGGGTCAAGCCCTGATATTTCTCCAGCTGTTTCAATTGCCTCGATGACAGCAGGAAAGTAGCAAAGCAGGTTATGGATGTGAAACTCAATGGAGTCCTTATTTTGATGAAGGTTGATGAGTTTTCCCCACCAATCTCTGTTATCAATACAGTATCTAACATATAGTTCCCCTTCTTTGAAAACCCTATACAGCTCCCTTAATGGCTGCTCAAGATCTCTCCACTTAGTATTCTTCTCTTCTAGATTCAAGTTTTGGCGGATTGCATCTGCAATTGTGTTGAAAGCCAATGTGAAGATTTCGAGAAGCAACGAGCACTGCCGCTGGTTGATTTTTATATCATCTTGCAGAACCATCAGAGCGTTCAGACTACCCAGAACCTCTCCAATCTGCCGGAACTGCTCCATTCAATGGCTGATCAGGAACCCCCAGAAATACAAACCAGGGGCTTCAAATCCTCAACTTGCACTACCAAAATAATTTCAGAGCGACAAAAAAGACAACCAAAAATCAGATTTTTTTTTTTTTTAAAAGCAGGATCAATAAAACTTCTGCATCTGGAATTGATTAGAACAGAGAATAATTGTTCAAAGCATGAGCACCAACATACGAGAAAACAACATCATGCCAAGAACCTCACGTAGACACGGAAAGCTGAAAAAGGAACGAAAGTGAATCAAGACCTGCAGAGAAGATTCTCTTTTCTCCACCGATTTCCTTGGAGCATGAAAACGAGCTGGTGATTTAGAACCCAGAACAAATCCAAGGCCAAATGTCACTCAGTAATCTGATAATAAAAAAACCATTAATGTCTATTGGATAATCCAAACATAATAGAAAGACAAACATAAGAGAAAATCACCTAAAAGCAATCAAATCTGGTTCATTTTCCCCAAGAAGCCATTTCTGGAGCAAACACCTGAAACAGGAGGCTATTGTCTCTGGTTTTGTATTTTCTGTTTGCTGATTAAATTTCTTCAAACTGCCAAAAAAAAAAAAGAAATTAAGAAAAAAAAACTAGAAACGGAATTTCCAAGAGAAAGATATTCAAGCTCTTTTTTTTTTTTTTTGGTGATATCAGTTTCTTCTTTGGCCGCTGAAAATTGTCGGGTTGCTTTGTGGTTATATATGAAATGTTCCCGCGACTTTCGTTTTGTTTATTCGAGTAATTAAATGTTGATTTTTGTTTTTAATTTAATGCGGTTTTGTTCCGTCTCAATGACAAAACCGTTAACTGCCCTCTCATCGCAACCGCTCTTAACTGTTGTCTTCCTTTTTTTTTTTTTTCCGTCAAACTACGTCGTTTATTGAAAGAATAAACAATTGTTGAGTCATCTTGAAAATAATTAATTTTATTATACTAGATATAATAAGTGTTATCAGATATTATACACATATATATATTTTTTTACTTTATAATTATTTTGTTAAAAATATTTTTATTAATTTAACGGCATTTCTTATTTTATATATAAAAGGCAGAATGATAATATATTGACTTATTATTTCATAAATATATAATTGCTATTGACTTATTATTTCATAAATATATAATTTTTATTATGATGTCACAAAGTAATAATAATAATAATAATAATAATCATTATCATTGTGACGTGATCAGGTTGAAAAATAAGAGCATTAAAATTAAATTTTATTATAATTACACGAAAAAAATATCGACGACATATTAATTAATTAAATGAATGTATTGATTAAAGATTTAGTTACAATGTAATGTTTTCATTAGACATTAATTTAGGGGAGATAGAAACTCCTCCTGTCTCCATAAATGATATTTAATTCTTAAATATACAACAATTAATAATTAATATATATTTGATCAGTTCAACAACAAACATTGATATGTCATGTGGCAGCAGGAGATGCTTTTGGCTGCATAGCACGTCGTCTGGCACGATCCCACGACATGTAATTATGGGGTTTATTTTGCATGAAGTATTTTATCTCCCTTCGGTTGTTAGACCGAGATTCTCTTGAATTTTTTAAATAAATTTTAAATATCAAATAAAATTAAATTAATTATATATGATAATTATTTATTTAAATATTTTAAACATAAAATTATGTATTATATGCAATAATTATGTATTTAAATTTTTAGTGAAAGTAATAATATTTAATTGTATATTTAATTTATTTTTCAAAAATATAGCTAACTTATGTTTTTTTTAAAAAAAAAAATTTAGTGCCCACATTTTAAAAATTTTTCAAAGCCGTTAAAAATTAGGTAGAAAAATCACATATAATTAAAACTTATTTGAAAAAAGAATCATTATTTAACTCATTATTTTTTATCAACATTAATAATTTTTAATTATCTATTAATATTAATTTTATTTTTAATTATTTTGTTGGTCCGTGTTTTTTTCGCTAAATAAGTTCTGAGTCATATTTGTCTTCTTCATCCAAATTTTAATAGTTTGTTAAGTTTTTGAAATAATTTAAAAACTAATTTACAATAAAAAACATTTATAACTAAGTATAATATTAGATTTAGTTTGAGGGTTAAATTGGGTATTTATTTAAAATTTAAAAATATAAAAATAAAGTTTATCTTTTTGGCAATTAAATATATATAATGATATCTTTTTTAAATTTTTAATTAATTATAAAAATAATTATGTAGCTTTTACCTCAATTTGAATATGGTAGTATAGGGACTCCGTAAATATTAAAATAAACAAGTTTTAATCGCCTTCTTTATTCTACATGATTTTTTTATAGAAATGAATTGTGATGTTGTTTGTTAACAATATACTCTTCGCATATTTACAAGAGATGTGAAATTAGAGGAAGACCATTTACCATATTATTTTTTTATAAAGTATTGAATCCAACAAAATAAGATGTCTATAACAAAAATGCTATAACCAAGCTTCATATTCTTACTTTAATAAGAAATATAATTGTTGTATGTTATTGAGATAGAGAAAGAATATTTTATTAGCAATCATTTTAATTTGAAGAAATTAAGTCTAAATTATTGTTTTAAATTCGATATACTTCGTTATTGACTTGGCTGTACAATTTTTTTTATAGGATATTTATTTTTTATTATATAAAGTTATTTTTTTTTTACTTTTGAGAAGATCTAATATTATTATTAGAATTTAAGGAGAAATTAAAATAATAATAATGTTAGAGGAGATGAGATGAATTATGTGATATTACTTTTTCAATCACTAATCTTTAAATAAGTAAATTATAACAAAAAAAATAATTACGAGATGAAGTACAATACTTAATCGTATTTTTAAATAATAGATAAAATTTTTATAAATGAAATTCAACACTTATTAACATCTTAGATAATTAAGTAATTCAAATTAACTAAAAAACATGTAAATTTACTTAATATGGAGAACCTTGAACGACAGACAACAAAAAGAGAGGAGAGAGAAGCTTGAGGCGAGAGAGGAAAGAAGCCTGCGGTAAATCAATGTCAAGTAGCCGAACATATTTAGTGTGTATCCAAAAGTAATTTAACGACATAAAATTAATGCAAAAAATTAAAATTAAAAAAATATAATTACAAATCTACTTACTATTTAAGCCCTTTGTAAAGCCAGCAGTACCAATGAGATGAGCTGAAAAACGCCCAATAAAGGTCTGAAAGCAGGCTGATATATAACTCGAGATTTAAGGCCCTTTCCAACTCAATCCTCATGTACCTGACCAGCTCGTCTCAATCCCCATATTACACTCACAACCCAGTCAGTGACACAGCGGGAAGCCGAAGGTATTATGAAACTGAAAACTGTACCAGTTAGTAGCAGGTGGTAACTGCACGAAAAGGGGAATTTCAAAAAAAAAATAAAGGGGCAGTATGAAGTGGTACTTCGTTGCCGCACTCCTCACCGTCCTCACCAGTTCTCAGGTCTGATTTTAACCCTACATCTGTTTCGCTTTAATAATCACCACCACTTTTGCTTAATTTTATCATTGTTTTGAACTCCGGAATCTTGTCGGTTTCTCTAATTTGCTTATTCTCTTCCCTCAAATTATGATTCTAAAGATCTCATAATGGTATTGGCATTTTTACTTTGTGACGAAGCAAATGGATCTCAGTCGACTTCCAAATTGTCTCTGTTGCTTGTTGATCTTTTATTACAATTTATTTGTTTATAATTTCGTTAGATGAATCTTAATTTCCTTTCTGATTTTAGTTTTGAAGTAAAATGCTGGTTCGTTGCGTGTTTATATTCGTTGATCGAAAGGACTGGTGATTGGTTGATGATAACTATATGGTAGCTAATTATGATTGGGAAAATTAACATATTTTTGTTCGGAGCAAATGCCTTGTGATACGTCCACTGCCAATGCCTATTTTTATGAAAATTATTAACTATTAATTAAATGAAAATTTATGCCGAGGATTGGCTACTGTGCTTTCCTTTTCTTTTTCTTTTAAGTGCTTGACATTACTGTGTTTAGTTGAAATCTTATTCCACTCAACTGCATGTAAATGTTATAGATCATCATTTATTGTTGGTGCTTGCATTATACCTTCAAAAGATCACAATTACGTACTTTTTCATATTTTGCAGTGTATTGGCTGTGCTCGAATAGCAAGCATATAATTGAATTTGGCCTAGAGTAGCATATGAAATGGAAAACCCAAATAATGATATGTATTAACCTCATGATTATCTCTGCATATCCTCAAAAAATGAGTCGACCCTTTAAATCCATGAGATTGCATTGCATATCTGCTTCATATGTGGACATTTGGTTTTCATGCACTTTTGTGGTATGCTGAATAAGGCTTTATTTATTTATTTTTTCTTTTGAAGAAAATGTGAGAAAGTTTTCTTATTCATGATCGTATTAGGCATCAGGCAATAATTCAGAATTTAAATAAAACGAATTATTCAAATGAACACATATATATTTTTGTATATAATATTTCTTTAAATCATTGACTTTACTTCTGTTTTATATCATATATAGGGAATTCTGACTACTCTCTCTCAAAGTAATGGAGGTTACAAGTATGATTACGCAACTGTTCCATTTTTGGCTGAAAGTTCTTAAGGTAATTCTCAGGCTGTTAACTTTGTTCGGTGCATTCCTTTTCTTGTTAATAAATGTCAGTTGATTTCAATTTTAAACTAAAATAAATTTGTTATTCCAATTTGTTTCAGGTAGTTAGTGACTCCTTTTTTTTTTTGTTTTTTTCACTTAAATACAGCTTCTGGTTTCTAGTTTAATTCTCTGGAGAGAGTGCCAGACATCACCATCTCCAAGGATAACTACAGAATGGAAGACCGTGCGCTTATTTCCTATTCCTTCAATCATATATCTAATTCATAACAATGTGCAGTTTGCTACCCTAACTTACGTGGATACATCCACGTATCAGATAATGGGCAATCTCAAGATTGTTACAACTGGCATATTATTCAGGTGCATGCTTACTACTTCTCTAGCCCAGTCACATTCTTGAGTTATTGAAAAATGAGTCACATCAAATATGAATGATATTTCCTTGTCTTTAAGTGTTTCTTTTTTTAATGATTCTGGACTTTATGCTTTTGCATGTCACTTCTATTATGAACTTTTGGGATTTGTTCTTAAGCAACTGACTTAAGCAACTGGTTAATTGATTTGCTGTTTCAGATTATTCTTAAAGAGGAAACTGTCTACCCTTCAGTGGATGGCAATTGTTCTATTAGCTGTTGGAACAACAACCAGTCAGGTAATTGGGAACAATTCCATGTAGTTAGGGAAACTTTTGCATTTGATCCACATGTATATGAGAATCTTGAATTATTGTTGATATTACTTTTTTTTTGGGAGAGATAATGTTTACTACTGATCAACCATCATTTCTTTTCAGTAGTATTATAAGCTGCATAGCTACTGGAAGAATGCTTGAAAAGGATGACAGTGATGTTACAATATTTTTTCACTGCCCTATTTCACAAAAAGCCTAACAGAAAACATGTTAGAGAATGACCTATTAAATAAAGTCCTTTATGAGCTCAAGCATATTTTCTGTAGACTCTAGAATTGGAGACTTAGATGATTAGGCAAATAATCATTTTATTTAGGCATGATATATAGTCATCAATCTCTTCTGACCTTGCACATGATTTAAGTGTGGGGTTTGGTTGGGAGAAAAGAAATTACTAATAGTTATCACTTTCATAATCCTTGGGATTACTGTGAAAATAACAGGTGGCTTTCTAGTTTGGTATCATGGTTATGGCTTAAAGCTGCAGCAGCATAGTTGTTGTTTGAGGTGATACTTTCTCAGTAACATAACAAAATACAGAATATTAAAATAATTATTTATTGCCAAGAAGAATTCCCCTAGATATGTCCAGACTTTATTTTGTAAAAACTTAATCTTACATCCCTAATTGTTAGGAATACAATATTATGTTCCTCTACTTAATATTTTTTTCAAATCATCGAAAAATTGTATAAATAGTTTTAAATTTGTACAACAAAGAAATGGAAAGAACTCTTCCTTCCCTCTTTCCCCAGTAGCTCAGTTCATGAAATATGAATCTAAACATGCTATTAGAGCAACTCATATAAGATTATTTAAAAAAAAAAAAGCAACTCATATGATTGGTGCTGAGTATCAATTTAACTTCTCTCTGTTCCAATATAACGAGCTAAGGCTAGGACTATCTGAGGCCAATCTTCCTCAAGGCTATGCATACATCTGTTTCTCCTTAGGCTTGCTTATAGTTGGCCGAACCTTGGACTCCGCATATTTTGAAGCCATCATCTACAAGGGTATGCACATTTGGGTGCTCTAGATAGAAAGAGTCAACTCACATGCTAAAAGGAAAATGTCGCTAGACTCAGAACCAGTTGCAGACAGAGAAGGCTGATTCACCTGTTATCTCCTCGTGGAGATCATGTATTTTTAGTTAACTGCAATCAGAGAGTTGAGACACAGCACTATATATAGGAAGAAGTCAGAGTTAAGCCGAATTTGTAGAAGCATTGAGATTTCTTGACCTTCGTGGGTGGACAGAAAGGGTCAACCACCTTAATTCAGGGAGTTTTTTTTTTTACTAGATTGGAGAGAGAGTGTGTGTATCTGTATATGTGTGGCAGAAGACAAAGTTGCTAACAGTGAGATTGGGTTCTCTTAGTGAATCCTCTGTTACAAAGTAGTCCTATGAAGTTTAATGAACCCAACTACCTTACATGGTCAAGGCTTTTGGACCGCAAGGATATGTTGCAGGATATAAGATTATACCTGCGAAATGGTGACCCCATGCTCAAATCAATAGGATGCAAGAACTCTGCTGTCTTGGCTAATTAACTCAATGCAACTATCGATTTCTCATGGGTTTCTAGTGCTGAAAACTATGCATAAGATCAGGGTGTTGCATTTCAATCATATTCAAGTTGCCCATGATGTAAAAATTTACAAACTATAGGATAAGGTGCATGAGACCAAATGACAAGAAGGGGAAGAATTTGATTGGGAAATAGAAGAGTATAGGCACTGCTCCAACTACTTTCTACAGTGAATCTGAACGAGAACAGAGATAAGCCACTTTGGAAACTTAAGAAGAAAGGAGTTTTCACGATCAAATCCTATTGTAATTACCTTGTTAGAAATGATGAGGCTGGAGAAGCCAGGTTTTTGAATAAGCTGATATTGTAGGTGAATGCTCCTTCTAGAATGCATCTTTTGCTAGGGAGGCGGCATACTGACCATTGATAAACTTATAAGAAGGGGAAGAATTTTGGTGAATGGATGCTTTCTATGCAAGAATGAAGTGGAGTGATGTAACACATTCTTTTATGGTGCCCGGTAGTATATAATATATAAACTATGGTTTGGGGCATGTTGGGAATAAGCTGGGTCATAGCAGGATCGATTAGGGATGAATTATGGGCTTGGGAGGAAATCAGTAAGGGGAGGAAATACTTCTAACCTTGTCAGAGGCTCCTCTGGTAACTTTGATAGCTACACACCATACTCAGATAATGATAGTTTCTATGTTAGATGGATCTTTATCCCTTATCACCATTGTTCTGTTACTGGCATTACTTCCATTATCTTGTCATCCGAACTCTGTGTCCCCAATTTTCCTAGCAACCGTATATATCTTAGTGCAATCAAAGATGGACTTGATTGCAAAAGTGAATTCTATCCTACTTGCTGTATTTTTTAACGACTGAAAACGGGGAAAATGATTAATTATGGTAGATTGCAAGATGGTCTCTATGTGCTTGTGTAGAGTCATAATTCTCTGATTCCTTCTAGAACTTAATCAATGCTACGAAATTCTATGTCTGCTACCCAACAATTGATCTGGCTATATAGAAGATTACATCATCTGTCTTTTTCTGTTTTGGATAAGTTATATCCTAGTATGTTCAAACAATGCCATATGGAATCTTTGGTTCAAACATATTAGGAATTCTTATCTATCGTTTTATAATAGAACTTGTACCCTTTGTAACAATTCATTTTGATTTATGGGGGCATAGTCAACTTGTGTCTTTATTTTATTATAGATGGTTTGTCCCTTTTGTTGGCTATTGGACTAGAATGACATGGATCTATCTATTACATGCAATAAATGAAGTTTATTCCTTCATCCAGTCATTTCCTGGATTATCCAAACCCAGTTTAATGCTCAACTCCAAATCCTTTGAACTGATAATTAAACCCAGTAGATGGTGCATTTTATGAGTACCTTCACTCACATAGTATGGTGCACCAAGTTAGTTGTTAATACTAGTGCCAAAAATAGAGTTGCTGAAAGAAGAAAAATGCACTTAGTAGAGGTGGCCCATAGCCTCATGTTTATCATGATTGTCTGGAAACACCGCTAGGGAATACAGTACTTTCCGTTGCATATCTCAAAAATAGAATGCCCTTTAAAACACTAGATTCTAAAAGCATTTGCAGGGGACGAATTCTTACATTTTCCATCCAAAGATCTTTGGCTATATATGCTTTGTCCATAGGAGTATAGGTAAATTAGATCTTTGGGCTCTCAATTATGTGTTTATTGGGCATCCTAAGACTTAGAAAGGTTACAAGTGCCATAATCCCTCATTATAACTTTCTACATGTGTGGATGTCACAATTTTGGAGTCTGAGCCTTTTTTTCCCTCCACCATAGTCACCTCTTCACGGGGAGAATAGACTAGAAGAGGTGACTAGCTCCTGCTCCTGGCCCTTTTATTAACTGAGCACAATCCCTTCATTCCTTTACATATTCCACTACATAGTATTGAAGATTTTGCAAATGATGAAAAACTTTGATGGGTGGAAGTGGGATAGGGAGGACATTTTTTTTTTTGAAATAAAAAGTACATGTATATTAAAAAGGTACCAAAAAAGGAGGTACCACCCCCTAAGCAATTTACAAAGTAATTAGTATGTCAATGATATCCCCAAAATTTTCATCCCTTACAATGTCATGACCTAGTAAACTAGACCCAAAATAGTTAATGCACCTATCTCTTAATTTAGACAACACTAACTCTTTCCTATCAAAGACTCTAGTATGTCTTTCGTTCCAAATAACCCAAAAATAGTAAAAGGAATCAAGTTAACAAGATTACATTTGTTGATCAGCCCATCCCAAGCCCATATTCCCCCCTCACAGTCCCAGAAATCACCCAACTAATCCCTAAGAGCTCATACATAATGCTCCATAAGCTGTGGACAACAAGACACCATAAAAGCAGGTGATTACAAGATTCTTCAGCACACATGCAAAGAGAGCATCTATTAACAATAACCTGTCCCCTCGCTCTTAAGTTGTCAAAAGTGAGTATCTTTTCCCTACACGCTTCCCATGCAAAGAAAGCCATTCTAGGGGGCACTTTGGTTTTCCAAATTTGCTTAATAGGGAGTTCTAGACTTCCTCCTCTTCCCCACCAATCAGTAAGCTGTAGTATGATTGGACAGAAAAATTACCCCTTTTCTCAAGATTCCACAGAATCTTATCTGGTTTATCTTGTATACACTATTTCTCCAAGGTTATCAAAAGCTATTCATACTCCGTGATTTCCCAGTCATTTAAATGTCTATTAACCCTAACGGACCAATCAACACAGCCATTATAAAGCCTATATGCATCAGCCACCGCCAACCCTTTCGAATATGCAATTTCAAAAATTCTGGGAAACAAATTCTCTAACCTATCCTCACCAGTCCACCTATCTAGCCAAAACGTTATTTTGTCCCCTTTACCCAATTGCCATTTGGTGCAGGAAAGGAATATTGGCCACTGTTTCATAATATTCTTCCATAACCCACGCCCATGAGGCCTGTAACCAGCCCCACCAGAATCCAGTTCACCCCAACGAACAAACACAATTTTCCTCCATATTTTGTCATCCGTCAAAAATTTCCAAAGCCATTTTCCTTGAAGAGTTATGTTCCTGTAGACTAGAGATCTTATTCTCAAACCACCCCTAAGAACCGGTTTTTTGATCTCCTCCCAATTAACCAAGTGATACTTCTTATGCCCCTCATCATCTCCCAAAGAAAATTACGTTGAATTGTTTCTAGTTTATTCACAATTTCTTTAGGGATTGTAAGAGTCCAAAGGTAATAGATGGGGAGGTTGGCCAACGTGCTTTTTATTAAAGTGAGACGCTTGGTAATGGTGAGGATATTAGGTTTTGGGAGGATGAATGGATGGGAAAAATTTAAACTTAAAGAACGCTTTACCAGAATTTTTGATATTGCTAGCAATAAGGAGGCGAGGGTGAGGGACATGTATGAAAATGTGGGTG